TAGCCAAAGGATGAGAGCTCATGGGAGTTGTAGGTCAAAACATCTGGAAGGCCTAAAGCTGCCCACCTCTGTGGTAAATACTCTGTCCTTGAAAAAGATAAATGTGAAATGCTTTGCATACTTTTAAACAAACACTTCTCTGACCACTTGTACTGATTACTTATCATCTCCAGGTTTTTCTTTCCTCCCACCAGGGCACATTAACTATTAGCATAAGGGTTGGTGGGCAGAAATGAAAAACATTTTTTTCAGATAAAAAAACTTCTGCAGATTTATCAAGCAAAGTTGGACCAGCATGGAACTTCTGCAGATTTATCAAGCAAAGCTGGACTTGCTTGGGACAAGGACTCTTGCTGTTCTGTGCAGTCCAGGGCATGGCTTGGTGCACACTTGCACAGCAGAGAATGCACATCCCATCATAAACGTGCATGTGTAAACCTTATTTTTTAGGAAGAAACCTTCCCACAGTGATTTCCCTGGGCAAAGATCAAATCCTTATCTGGTATCAAGAATGCTAGAGTAACATGTTTGCCAGAGACTGATTATAGGACTGCAGGCAAGTTGCTGGGCCTCAAACTCACTTTCCCCTTTCTAAAAGCAGGCAATGAGCAGAAATCTGTGCTTCATGGATATGCAGAAATTGAACTTAGGATTCCCACATGGTCATGGAATCAATAGTGATGCCCAAGGATTGTTGGGAACTTCTGGGGAAGAAGTTTAGCTGCACCTGTAGACTCAGGCTGATTGAGGCTGAGTCTCCCAAGGGCGTGAGCCCTTAGTGCCAACTCAAGGGTGAGAGTTAAAGGGCTCTTGTTCTGAGACTCTTAGCCTGTGGCTGGAAGCACGGGTTCTGGGGAGCTGAGAAACATGCTCCAGATGATCTATTGGACTCCTTTAAAAAAAGACTCCACAGATTCCTTCACCCATTCTGCGGAGGACAGAGCTTTACATCCATGGAACTGAGAGGAGGGTAAGTCTACCTCAAATTAGTCCCCTCCTTCCCTTTTAAGTATTGCATTACATTAAAAAAAAAAACTTCTAAATGTGTGTGTGAGTTTGGGCACCCGCCATGGGACACCATGTGCTCATTTATAAATGGGTGTTTGTACATATACTTAGGTGGAACTGCTTGTGTACATGAGACTATCATTGCATACCCTGTAGCCAGACACCTGGGATCTGAGGCGAGGGTTTGAAAACTAGGCTGGAAGATGTTGGATGCTCTCTGGGGAAGGACAGAAAGAGCAGGACCTGGAAGCTGCCACTCTGAGGCTGCCAGCGTATGGCCTTGGACTATTCCTTCACCAAGTTTCAGGGCCTGTCTTTGTATCACTGTCCACTATCCACTAGAGCTAAAAACTGGATTTCAGCAGCGTGACCTTGATGGGCCGTCCAGTCTCTCCAAGATAGGTCACCCTCTGATGGGACTTGTGCTCACCCCTCCAGTTGAGGCACGGACCATTGGCAGGACCCTGATTACCCACAGGGCTGTGCTCAGATGACCACACTTCATAGTCCCATAAAGGAGGCGAAGACCAATCAGCTGTTCCGGAAACAGACAAGTTCCGATTGGCTGACTGGGGCAAAGGCGTCACCCAGCGAGGACCTTTGAGTGAAGGATGCTCCTTCCTGCCACATTCCAGCAGATGGGATGGAGAGTGAGGATCCCTGGGCTTGGATGAGAGCCGGCGGTCCTCCGCAAGGAGAGGCAAGGACCAATCCGAAGATTCGGAGGAGCCGTGAATGGCCGTTTGGGACGGAGCTGATGCCTGGGTACCGCTACAGCTTGAGTTTCGAGCTGCGGTTTGGTCATGCATGGATACCCTGTTAGGGAACTCTGGTTCCTTGGGGGGGTTGTCACTGGGGAGGTGAGAGCAGTTCAGGCTATCATGCGATGTGGAGATGTCATCAAGAGAGGAGCGAGAATTGGTCCTTCCTGGGGGGGAAAACAAAAATAGAAACCTCAGTCGATCTACCTTCAAGATGCCACTATTGAGCTCCTGGGACAGAAACGAATCAGAAATGGGCAGAGATGTTATTACTGACTGAACAACTCAGCTGCTGTTTGCTGGGGGTACTATGTGGCCCAGCAATCACTAGTTCCTGAAAGATGGAGGTGAGAGGGTGGTGGAACAACACCTTTGCCAGCATTCTCAAGGTCCCCAAGCACCCGTGCTTAACATGGGAGCCGCCATTTTAATTTTCCCACAATGCCCCAGAGCAGCACAAGAACATTGCTGCAGGGAATCACTTGCCACAAGCCTGAAGTAAAACTGCTAGGGTGTTAGCAGGAAGGAGGCCGTGGACCTCCCAACGCTGAGGTGGTCCCCAAACCTAGAGCTTGCCCCTGTTTTTGGCAACACTGATGTTCTGCTAGGACAGTGATGGCGAACCTTTTAGAGACCAAGTGCCCAAACTTCAACCCAAAACCCAGGTTTGGGTTGTACCCAAACTTCAACCAAAGTGCCAAGACTACAATAAAACCTGACAACTGAGGTTTTAGTTTAGAAGAAAAAACTCCCAGCCAGTCCAAGCAAATATATCCGTGGCAGCGCACTGACCGGCCATGCGAAAGCCCGGACAAGTCGCAGCTAATGAGTCCCGGCACATGATGTCATCGCCTGGCGCCACTACTCCTTTCCGAGCATGCGCACGGCCCCTGTGTGCGCTGTCATCTGATGCTTGCCTGCCGGGGCGATGATGGGGTGACTTGGTTCGCGTGCCAACAGAGAGGGCTCTGTGCGCCCGCTGTGGCATGTGTGCCATAGGCTCGCCACCACTGTGCTAGGACCTTTAAAAAGAATATTTAGAGGGCTAGTATGAAGTGGTGGGTGGAGTGACTGAGGACATTCAGGTTCTAGTCACCACATGGCCAGGAAGCTGCCTGGATGGATTAGAGCTAGTCCCACACTCTCAAGCTAGCCTACCTCACAGGGTTGCTGTTGTGAGGATAAAAAATGGAGATCTATTTAAGTTGCTTCACATGAGGAAAAAAAGCAGGATAGCAATGCAGCCTAGTCATAATGGTAATGGTGATGATAACTGCGGGGGAGGGGGTTATTTCATCTTGTAAGAACAAATACCCAAAGCCAGAGAGCTACGGCACTTGTTGCTGACGTTAGACTATGTGCGATTTTTTGTCTCTTGCTTTTTTGCTTGCGCGTTTTTTTCAGGCTCAGTGGCTGGCACAGAAGGAGCAAACTGGCTTCACAGCTGGCCAAAGGCCCTGCTGTTGGAACAAAAGGCAACCCAACGCATCTGGAGGGGACCGGGCTGGTGAAGGCGGGTTTAGATGGATGAAACCAGAACCAGAGCACCACAGAGGGTTTGGCCCAGGCACTGGGGTGCTGTGGATCCTACGAGCACGTTTTGGTCCAGAGATCGTGCAAGCCCCCATCTGTCCCAAAGGGTGGGCACTTTGCATTGTGGGTCTCCAACATGAGACTCCACCTGCTCAGGTGTGTCACAATCCAACCCATACCTGCCTTGGGTGGGAGTGAAGAGAGGGGGAGAGATTTGAGAGACGGGGGACATAAACTGAAGCAAGACAGACACTGAACGGTTCCCGCAGGCCTCCCGCCCGCCGGACCCTCCCCCGCCAGAGGAGAATCACGGCTGCCCTGCTGGTACCTGCGAGGTGCTTCCCCCGCTGCGAAGCCTCTGCCGCCAGCGCGTAGGAGAGCTGGATGACTCGCTGTCGCTCCCACTCCGGGGTTGGGGGGCATCGAGGAGGCTTGTGTCCCTCCATGTGTGCACCCTCCTTAGGTGGTGATGATGCAGGGGGGGCATTGGGGAGGGGCTGAAGGAGAGATTAAATCATGGGAGGAGGAGCCGGACGTGAACAACGGAGCCGGTCCCGGCCTCCGTTCCCTGGCAGAGCACCCCACCACTCGGGACAAACCAGACCGCACATCAAGCACAGCCACAAAGATCTTGCTCCCCTGCGGTTTGAATGGCATCGCCGGACGGCTCTGCAATTCAGAATTCAGTTTGAATTACACCAGTCCTTGATCCTTTGTGCAATGCAGGGTGTTGAATGTCAGCCTCATGGGCCAAATCTGGCCGGCATGGGGTCCCAGCCTGCCTTCTAGGGTTCTCCAGATGGCACACCCCCCTCCTTTGGCCCCACCCCCTCTCCACCTGCCAGTCTTTCGGTGGCTTCCCAGCTTTTGTGTGATGCTTTCCCCATGCCAAAAGCTGAAGTGTGTGCCCAGAGGCTTTGCTACTGGCAGCAACAGCATTAAGCTAAGCTAGGCTGACGCTTGGACATGCTCCCTGTGCCTTCAGCCTCACCCTCCACTGGACGGTGGCCTCCGAGGGCTTTTCCACAGTGGAATTTGGGCTAAAAGAGAGTCAGCCCTCCTGGTGGAAGCTGTGACATCTAATTCTGCTTTTGGGAGGATCCCAACTGCATTTCCAAGCTCAGGGGTCCAGGATTCTGCTTTCCTGTCTCAAAACCATTAGACCTTCTTGCTCCCTCTTAGGGAATCGGGGAATCTGCCTGCCAATCATCACCCACTGAGCAGGAAGAGCCGGGAATCCAGTCCTTGATCCCGCTAGCCACAGTGCTCACTGGATGTTGCTTTGCACTCCGGGCACATCCCAGCTTCCTTCCTGACCTACATCCCTCCCTGCCCCACTCCCCAGTCTCCGAGGATCAAAGCCTTGGCGACTCAATATAAAAGAGGGCTGGGGCCTTGTCCTTGTCCCTTGCCATTCTCCTTGGTCCAGGGTCTTCCTCCCCACAAGGCTTCACACCCACCCGGCCAGACCCATGCTTGAGGGAGTCTCGCCGGTGGCCCAGGGAGCCAGGCTGGGCGGCCTCTGACTTTCGTTTGGCCTCCTGGTTCCTCTGCATCCTGTCGAGCTGCTCCTGGGCACTCATGCGGGACCGGCGAGGAGCGGGGCCTTCAGAGGGGGCCACCTGAAAGGGAGTAAGATTGAGAAGATCGGGGTCTTTACGCAACTGCCTTGCCATGTTGGCATTTCCCCACGTCTGCCATCTTGCATCTTTTTTCAGTTCAGACATCTCAGTGCTATGACCGTTCATTGCCCATCAAGATTCCACCCCTCACCTCCTTGAAGCTACGAGTCATTAAAAGGAGTTATTTAAACAGCACTCTTCTTATCTAAACTGTTTTGAAGCTTTGGAGAGAAGCAGTATAATTTTAAAATAAATAAATCCTGCCCTTTCTCCTCAGTGCTGTCATGTACTAAACTCTGCTGCTGCCCCAGTCCTGAAGGTTTATCTCACCTTGGCTACGCTCTGTTCGGCCTCTTCACGGTGGGAACGGATGTGGCTTCCATGATCTACAAATAGGAAGAAAGGGAGACAGATAAACAGGCTGGTATCTTTGGGGTATTTGTTTCTAGAACACAGAACCATCTTTTCCACCTCTTCTACTTTGGAGGAGTGAATCTTTTATTGGAACCCATAGCAGATTCTTATCATTATCTCCAGTACTCATGAAGACCAATTCTGAAAGATCTGGGCAGGTTAAACACTAGAGAAATCTTCCCCAACTTTATGCTTTCCTGAGATGATGGGAGTTGTCAGCTAACGCCTCTGGAGGTCACCAGGTTGGGGTAGCCCCCCCCCACCCCGGGGTTAATAGCTATTGAACCTGGTTCCCAGAGGCAACTCCTTGCTCGCCCAATGGGAAAGCAAGCTAAAAGTGAATGGAAAAGGGGGGATTGTGGGCAACTTAAGGAAAAGCAATGGAAGAAACCACTATGGAGAGAGGAAAGGACTTGCAGGGGAAATAAGATTTGGCCAGTGCCTCTGTACCTGGATGACACCTAGATAAGATCACAGTAATGCTCTGCCTGTGGCATCATCTTTGGAAAATATTTGGAAGCGACAACTGGCCCAGGCTGTGGCAGCCAGACTGTTTGCTGGGAATGGCTATAGGGAAGGTGCTTTAAGTCCGGATCCTTTTCCACTTCGTTTGGTCCTGATCTGTTTGTGGGACCAGTTCCAAAGTGCTGGTTTTGCCCTTTGGAGGCTTAAACCTGCCTGCCCATAATTTGATGGCCCTCTAGATGACTTGGGCTACAGCTCCTATCATCCCCAATCAGCATGGCAGTCTGGGCGGGGTGATGGGAGTTGTAGTCCAACATGCCTGGAGGCTGTCGGGTTGCAGGAAGGCTGTCTTGGCAAACCCATGCACAGATTTCCAGTTTCACCCCCAGGGGCTGATGCTGCCTGTTTCCACCCCTGGCTTACCTTTCTCAAATGCAGGGGGGTCACCAGGAGAATGGCCCGGGGACTGCCTGACCCCCTGGGAACACTGAGATGGTGCCCTCTGCTGCCCTCTGCTGGTCGCAGGTGGACTCTGCTGGCAGAGAATGTAAAGACGTGTTTTTTCAGAGAACGGGAATGCAGGTCCCCGGTCTGCCAAGAGAAACAAGAGGAGGCGAGCATGACAAAATGGTGTAGACTTACAGCCTGATCCATGGTGCCAGGGCTCTCTGGCTGCCTGCCTTCCAACGGGGCCGCAGTTCGGCTCAGCTCTTCGGGGCCTGGCATGTGGCTGGGTGTGGATTCCTGGAAGAGAAGGGTAGATTTTGCAAGAGGAGCACCTCTGGATTCCTCCTCCTCGTTTCCACAGCAGGAGCATGCGCGGGAGACGTCCCACCGCTGGCATGTGGCCCCAGATGCTGTGCCTAGAGCCATTTCGGCCCTCAGAGCGGCAGAGTCTCCTTGCTCCTGGTCTACAAAGACTCCCACTTCAAATTGACTAGCTCTGCTGGCCATAAGCAGAGCGGGACGGGAACAGCCCTTCACCCCAATCAAAACAGCATTGCTATTATTATTGTTGTTGCTGCTGCTGCACAGCAATTCTATCCCACTCCTTTTCCTCTCCCGAGGAACCCAAGCCAGCTGACACAGTCCTCCACTCCATGTTATCCTCATGACAACCCTGTGAGGTAGGTGAGGCTGGGAGTGAGGGACTGGCCCAAAGCCGGCCCCTCAGAGAGCTTCATGGCCAAGGGGGAGCCAGGACCCAGGTGTCCTGGGCCCCAGCCCAACACTCTTCTTCGTGGCAACAGGTGCCACGTGGCCCGTTGCCTCGAGGATGGAGCTTCCATGGCTGACAGGCATGCACAGACCATTTCCCCTTGCAGTGCTGCTTCCAGATGCTGGAGGTCCCTTGGCAGGATGCCCTTCGTGGACCCCTTCCCTCCGTGAGTCCGCCTTCTCACAGCTATGGGCACACCGCAGCCTCCCTCTCTTCACTGCCGTTGCTTGTTCGTTTATTTATATCCGGCGTGTTTCCCTTTCAAGGAACCCAAGACGGCTTCCACAGTCCTCTCAATTTTATCCTTACAACCCTGTGAAGCAGGTTAGGCTGACAGGGACTGACTGGCCCAAGGTCACCCAGGGGCTCCATGGCTGAGTGGGGACCAGAACCTGGAGCTCCCAGATCCGCGGATCTGCCCCTGCGCGCCTGCTTGGCAGACAAAGGTCTAGGAGCGAGCAGTTCCTAGCTCCTCCTCGTCCTCCTCCTCCCTGCAACCTCTACCTGGACCAGAGCAAGAGGTGGGCAGACAAGCAGGTTGCAGTGATGAAGAAGAGGCATGAGGGTCATTTTCAGTGGGCCCACACTGGCACGTGGGCCCCTGGCAGGTGCCCGGTCATGCCGTCCCTTGATGCAGGCCCTGCTCCTTCACAACCTTTGAAGCTGGTGGCCACCCACACATTCTGTGGCAGCACACTCCTTTAATTACATTACGTTCCATGCACAGAAGGGGCAGAGTGCCCAGTCTCACTCAGGGCACTCTGCCCCTGAGTGAGAGCCCAATATCAGGGTAGAGCTCCTAAAGAGCCAAAAAAGGGATAAACTGAAAGCCCAGGATATCAGCTGAGGGAGCCACACTCTACACTGAAGCCAACAGACGTGTGAGGTTGTGCCTTGCAAAGCCAGAAAGCCAACTGCTACCTCCACTCCAGAGCATGGCAACAGCGAACCGTGGTTTGCTCCCATGTGAGAATCTGGTGTTGGGCTGGTGGCTGGAGAGATGCCTGCAGTGGAAGAGGCAAAATAGGCAAGTGAGGAATCAGAATTAGCAGAAAGATCACTCTGTCCCACAGTGTGTTCCACATATCACAAGCGAACCTTCAACCTGTAGGAGAAATTCACTCCACTTGGGGTCTCAATCCTGCCTGCAGCAGGATCCCCAGATCCTTGTCCTAGTGACATTTCTTATTCCCTGACCACTGCATGGTTTCCAAGACTTTCTGCAATTTTCCTCTATTTTATAAAAGATAGAAGACTTCTGAAGGCTGAGTTAGTGGCGGTAAGAGCTTAAAGCTGCCATAAACTGGTCGTTTAGGTTTTGGGGGAATGCCTCCACTTCAGCCCCACCCTCACTGAAGTGTGGCCCCTCGAAACCTTCTCCAGAAGGAAATTCGGCTCTCAGGGTGAAGGAGGCTCTGCAGCCCATAGAAATGAATCATGCGCGCACAGGCGGCGCTAGCAATGTTGCCTTAAGCACCTGATCGTCGGCTCTCCAGGGTGTGGTAGCTTGCTGGACTGGCCCTCAGTCCTGCCAGGATGTCGTGGATCCTCCACAGATCTTGCTGAGCGGCCACTTGGTCCTAAAGAGGAATGGATCAGACCCATGCAGGCAGCTGGATGAGCTTGTGTTTCCAGCCACCTCTCGCTGCCTCCAGCACCAGGAGCGCTCTGCGGCCAGAGGCTCCCCAGCCCTGCCAAGGCAGAGTCGTGCTGGCTGGAAATGAGGGTCGGTGTGGAAGTGGGGAGCATTTACCTGGGGGTGCCCCACATTCCGGATGTGCTCTAAGGAGCCCTTCAGCGTCTGCAAGTCGTTTTCCAAGGCTGCATAACCCTCCCAGGCCCGTTCACTGTCCTAATCAAAGCAACGAATGGCTGCCATCAGACACTGAATGACTCCAGTTGCATATGATAACAACTCCCACCCTTCTCCAGCTTGTCTGGGTGGCTGGAGCCGTTGTCCAAGAAAGTTGCATGGTGCCAGAAGGGGGACAGTGGCTCCTTTCAAGCACTGATGCAAAACGAGCTCAGAAAATTCCAAGGTGACCCATGTGCACACACACCCACGCACTCATGCAGGACCCGCAACCATCTGTCGCAGCGCAGAGGGTGCTTCAGCCAGCCAGCCACGGTGCCTGCTTTGACTGCACAAGCAAGCACTCACCTTGGAAAGCTGGAAATAGAGGGAACAAGGGGGACCTGCCAGAAAATGTCAGAGAATGGGCTTCTTCGTGCCCATCCTTGCCTTTGGGGCTATAGAAGAGTCAGCACTCAGAGAAATGAGCTTGCTGTGAATGTATTATCCCTAGATAGATATAGAGATGATAGAGATAGAGATGATAGAGATGAGGATAGAGAGGATAGCGACAGAGATAGAGATGATGATAGAGATGATAGTGATAGAGAGATGATAGAGATGAGATAGAGTTGATAGTGATAGAGATGATGGAGGTGGAGATGGTATTTAATGCAAAAATAGAATCTGGAAATTAAAGGAAGGGCCCTGGAATATTCCTGGGGTGGAGGGCAAGCCATGGCTACCACCACATCTGTCTGCAGATCTGCCCGCCAAGGGCAGAGGGCAACTCACCAGCGCCAGGTCGCAAAGGCGCGCTCGGAGATGCACCAGCTCATCTTGCAGCTGCCTTTGCTGGTAGGAGATTTTCTCCATGGTGGCATCTTGGCCTTTAAACTCCTCCATTCTCAGGCGGGACACTTCCAAGGCCTTTTCAATCCGCTCCTGCAAAAGCACCATCCATTCTAGGGACTGTCAACCCAGGCTAGCAGCGTTGGAAGGCTTCTTTCTGTGCCTTTCTTCTGTGTACTTCTCATCACAGGGATGAGAGGTAGCCTCACAGGCCGTGTGGCAGAACCCTGGGCACAGCACCATGGCTGGAATGTATCTACACTGCAGCCCCTCTAGATTGCTCAAGCAAGTGAGCCAAGCTGTACCCTAGATGGAAAAAGTGGATGAAGTATTTCCCCATCCTGATCTCTTCCCTCCAGAGCTTTCAAAGAAAGGGGTTTAAGGAGGTAAAACACACAATAATATTACAGCACAGTCAGCAAACACGAGGGCTTTATAACATTTCACAGGCAAAACTGGACAAGTCCTTGCCTGGGAGGCACTTGCAATTGAACAGAGAAAAATGACAAAGGGAGAAAGAGAGCAGCGGGACACACCTGGGCAAAGAAACACCTGGGCAAAGAAATAAGCAGACAAATGAGTGGAGTAGATTGCATAGCATGCAACCATTATGTATGTATGTATTTATTAGATTTATATCCTGCCTTTTTTTTTTTACAATACTGGGTTTGGGCTAGGGAGACTTGCATTCATGTACATCCTTGGTACTGTGTGCCCTTGAGTAAGTATCTCTTTTTTCTTTCAATCCAACTTGAGACTGAAGCTCCTCTGAGAAAGAGAAGAACTAAATGCAGCCCACCAGCTTTGCCCAACCTGGCACCCTCCAGATGTCTTGGGGTGGCAGAAATTGCACATCTGGAGGCTGCCAGACTGGGAAAAGCTACAGGACATAATAGGTTAGGGTTCGGGTTTTGTCCCCCTCTAGTGCCTTTGTCCCCATCTAGTGGTAAAAAAAGGTACTATATCAGAGAAGCATCTCTAGAGTAACTGTCACCACCTTATGGTAGAAAGGAGTATGACATCTGCAGGGTAGCTACAGAGAGATTTCGCCACCACCTGACAATTCAGCAGCTCTGTAAAGGTTGAATATTAATATTAGGGTAACGGCAGCCAACAGAAACCAGGTGATTGGTTTCCTTACAGTGGAAGAGGGAAGGGGAAATGCCAGTAAAGCACCTTTTCAGCCCGGAGTTGCCCTGTCTCCTCTTCAAGACTGCGAAGAAGCTTGTCTTGGCCACAAAGCTTTGTCAGGATTGCCTAGAAGCAAAGAGAAATGAAATAGTGTAGGCAGCTGGACGGTACAGTTTTCTTGCTCGCTGCTTTCTCAAAATGCAAAGGAACAATAGGTTTATGGTTTGCAGGTTAGGGGGACATTTTGAGTGCCTATAAGGGCTGCTTTGCAATGCAGAACTGGATAACATTAAAAATATTTTTACACTGGCCTTCCTCCCTCACCTGAGAGTTGCTTCTAGCTCAGCTAGGATAGATTACTTCTTGTTGCCATTTTTATTTGTTACAATTTATTCATTTATTACTATTGCTATTGATAATCAGTCTTTCCCAGGCTTGGGTTTTCAGACACAGTTGGACTACCATTCCAATCATCCTGGCTGCTGGCTACAGTGGCTAGGGATGGTGGGATCTGGAAAACCAAGGCAGGGAAAGACCCTGCCAGTCCCTACCTCACAGGAAGCTGCAGCTGTCAGCTCACGGATGTCCTGCGTATGCCATGAAATAGGGATGGGAATTGCTTTCTTCCTTCTGTACTTCCTCTAACAGCTGCTCCACCAGCAAGCAGAAGCAGAAGCAGAATGCGGATGCCCGTCTCCATCCTGCGAAAAGGCTCCCCGGCATACGGAGCTTCTCTTTAGAGGCACAAGGGCAGGCCAGACTTGGTTTTACTTTTTCTCCTGGTCAGCTGGCAACCTTCCTTCCTTCATTAATTCACCCAAAATACATCTAGGCTACCTCTCAGGGCAGGACTATGGGGCCGCCACAGTCCCAAGGGACTATGCATTAGCAAAGATTCTCACCAGAACATAGCGGGGTCCGACTTCGGGGCAGACATCCGGGGCTCCACTTGGCAAAGGCAGCAGGAGGGGCCCCAGTGCAAGAGGTCTGACCTCCCGCATTTTGAAGTACGTGAAGTAGCACACATTAAGCATCTAAAGAGTCCCCATCACCTTTGAATCCCGAGTCTAAATTATCTAGTCGTATCACTAAGCTGAGCTTTTCAGCAGTGGCACTGCAGTTATGGAACTGGCCCACTGGTGAAATCCATCGCCCTTCCTCTCTTCCTGTTTTTAGACAGGCAGGAAAAACCTTTTCTATTGCTGAAGCATCGATTTCTGCAAGGGATATGTGCATTAAAAATCATCTCTCTTTTCTCTCTCATTTTTAAAGACTTATTTTACTTCGTTTTAAGCAATAGTTGTGTTCTTGTTCATACATCTCGGGGTTTTTTCATAAGCTGCTTTATTAAAAATAGACTTTTGAAAAGCAAAACCATAGTTTTATAAACGAAGTAAGAAATATTCCAGCGCTAAGAGAAGAAGCAGAGGTACGTACATCAGTGTCACTTTCAAATCGCTGCCCGCCAGCCGAGTGGATGCTTCTCTCCCGCACTAGATTTCGACCCTAGCGAGACAATGAAGTGAGCGACCCAAATGTCAAACCAATGCAAGCAGGAAAAAGCCCCAAAGTTCTGCATCTTCTCCAAGGAGAAACCCTGGCTTGTTATAATATAAAACTTAGAGTGGGTGACACTTTAAAGCACACTCCACAATGGTGCTATTTCAGAATTCCTACAACCATGGGCTTGTCGTTACTGAGGCCTGCATCCAGAAACCTAGCATGTCAGAGACAGTGCTACTGTAGTCTCCTTTTCCTGACATGCTAGCTTTCCATGAATACAAAGACTCTGACATAGGGCAGCATTCTGACATGGCATAAGCCCTCACATGCTACAGCCTCCAAGGATGAATTTTCATGATTTTCATAAAGCGATTTTCATAGAATTAAACTGGATAAGCAGTGCCTTGGTGCACAATCCAAAAGGTCCCGGGTTTGAATGGTACTTCAGCCAAGAACTTAGCAGACAAGCTCTTCTCTCAATCTTGGCAGGAACATGAGTCTAATAATACTGACCTACTTCTCTTGAGGATAACTGAGATCCCGAACAGGAAAGCATGTTTTTTTTCCTGAACAACTCAGGAGGACTAGAGGAATGCGAGAGAAGATTTAAACATTGCCTGCAGGCCATATAGAGGCCTTTGGAAAGTGCTTGCTTGGCACGCCAAGCGGATGAGTAGCTACAGATCCTTGGAAGGAGAACAGATAACCAGAAGATTGGTGCTTGTGGGGTGAAGTTAAACTGAGTAGCACAGCCCTGCTCCCTCCCTGCCCAACCTGCAGCATAATAAGCCTCTGCCTAAAAGCAGACTCCCTGCCAAAATTCAAGCACCTTCTCTTCCCTGTGGCTTTTCTCCATCAGTCCTCTTCTCCCTCCCCTCCCCTCCCCTCCCCTCCCCAGCACATCTTGTTTAATTTCAGAGTGCAAGACAGTGGCCAAGTCCTGTTTGGCTTTTTACGTGGTGCCTCAAGCCGTTACACTAGCTTTTCCCAACTTGGTGCCATCCAGATGCACTGGACTACAACTCCCATCATCAAAGCCACACGGGAAGCTGCCCCACACAGAGTCACACCCGTGGTTCTTATAGCTCAGCACTGCTGGCACTGACTGGCAGCAGCAGCTTTTCTGGGTTTTAGGCAGGGATTTCTTCCTAGAGATGCCAGGCATCAGACCTGTGACCTTCTCCCTACCAAGCCCCTGCTCTGCCCCTGAGCTTCGGCACGTGGAAGCTTGCACTAAGCCCGTTTCATATGACCAACCTGGAAACGCAGAACATTTCAGAAAGCTGAACTTATTTCAGCTTGTTAGAGTTTTCTCCAACACCTCTTTGAGGGCCAAGTGGAAGATCACATACCGTGGTCCCTAAAGACGTCCTTTTGCCAAGATTGGGCCGGTTGGGCAGGGGGGGCAGGGGCGGTAAGTGCAGGTAGCTGGAGGAGGCGGAGTGAGGGGTGATCTGTGGGAAAAGGGAAGGCAGCATGAGGAGGCGGAGCCGTGGGAGCCCCCGAGGAAGACAACATTCCACACCACAATTCGACAGCGACCAGGAAAACTGCAGAGCGTGAGATGGCTCGTGGAATGGAGCTTTCAGAAAATATCACCTTTCTTTTGAAAAAGGAAACAAGTAGCTGGTTCTTATGATTGTGAAGACATCACTCCTCAAATCTCAGGAGCTAGAAGGATAGCTGAAGCTTTCCACTGGTTGGGGACAACAGGAACCCAAAGTCTTATGCAGTTCTTTAACCCCCTGTCCCATTACAAGCCAAAACAAAAGGTTTCCTTTGCATAATTTATTCTGCAAGTCTAAATCCTGCAATTTGCATAGATTAAGCTTGTTTTGGGTGCAGAACTGAGATCTTCTTCAGGGGATTTCCTTTTGTTTCATTTTTTGAGGTGCCAAGTCTACACGGTCCTGGTCTGTAGGAAGGGAACCTTTTCGACAACAGACTTGAAACTCCAGGCAATTAAGGCTCCGAGGTCTGACAAGGAAAAGCCAGGGAGCCAAGCAAAGGGGCAGGAGAGGAGGAGACCATCATGCATGTGCAGAGGCACGCACTCACCAGTCGCCCCTGAAGTCGAGACATGATCAAGGCACGGGATGGTCCAGCGGACGGGGAGAGACACCCTCGATCCGGAAACTGGAGAGAAGCAACAGGTTAGCTGGCGGGGATGAGGTCAGGAGAGGCCCCATGGCGTGCCCAGCGCTGGGCCGGTGGCCTCTACTCACCCTGCTTTGGGGCTGCCTCCCCAGGGAGGCCATCAGGCTGTCCTCGCCCACAGGCCGGGCTCTGCTGGGGTGGGGGCTGCGAGCGTAACGCCGGCCATAGGGGTCTTCAGGGAACGGGAAGACGTCGTACCGGTCTGCAGGGGTCAGCGTGCGCCCCCTGGTGGCAGGCGACACGACGGCGTACGGGTTGCTGGGGGGGCCCTCGCTGGGAGCGATGTCCACCCTCCCCATGGGTGTGTTGGGGCGCACAAGAGCCCGCGGAGACATCCCGGCGGGCAGGTCCTCGCACGAGGCGGCCTGGGCAGTGGCCACCCTGGGCGGCTTCCGGTGGACGTGAGCCGGCGACAAGATCTGGGGCGACTCTGCAGGGGTCAAGGGGAGGGAGTAGGACCGGGAGGAGCGGATGGAGAGCAAGGGGGATGGCTGGGGGGTGCGGGAGGGGGAGGAGGGTGCGGGGCTGCAGGGGCGGGGAGCGGGCGGGGAGCGTGGCCGCGGGGAGCACTTTGCACAGATGACCGGGGAAGGGCATCCATGCGTCTGGGAAGACAGGGAGCTGCCAAGGGAAATGGGGTGGGGGGAGCACAAACGAAAACATTAATGGAGGAGAAATGGAAGCCCCTGCCCAGCCATGCCTGGGGGAGCTGCCAGCCCAAATCCAGAAAAGTAGAAATCCCCCCCTCCAGGCTTCTCCAAGAGGCGATGCTCCAGCCCCTCTTCCCCCAATCATGGATCCCTGGGCAAATTCCTGGTTCTTATGCCTTTTTTCCCGAGTTCTAAAAGGTAGCGATCTCTCTCCTATGGCTCAGTGACTGGCAGCAAGAACTTCGACTGAAACAGGTTGGCCCTTTGAGTGGCTCTGGTCTCTGAGCACCACCTTCTTTGCCCCCACCCCCCAAAATACAGCCCTCAGAGCTTCTCTGACATGAAATCATGGAGCCGGGGGTCAGACTAGATGACTCAGGAGGCCCCTTCTGACTCGCTCTGTTTCTATGTTTCTATGAATCCGGTCCTGGGGCTGCAAGAGGTTCTCCACCCCAGTTCTAGCACCCCCTGCGGTGTGGTTCAGCCTCTGTGTTGCCTCACCTTAAATCCGGCTGGTCTATCCTTTCACGGTGGAACCCCCCATCGAAGGAGCTGGATAAAGAGGTCCTCCTGGGGCACGGAGAGCCCTTCTGGCTGTCCTGCAGGTGGAGGCTCTCGGATGAGGAGGCCTCAGGTTCCCGGGCCTCCGAGAGGCGGGCGATTTCCAGGGATTCGGTGCTTCTGGCCCGGTGATCCTGCGTGAGGGTGACATCCTCAAAGCTGGTGTGGGTGGACACAGAGTGGCCATGGGGGCCCCGGCTGTTGAGGCAGGGCAGAAAGAAAGATTGCACAGTGTCTAAGTCACGGGTCCTTCGTCCCCTGCAACAGCATCCCATAATTAAATACCCCCCGTTTCCACAGGGAGTGCGAAAGCTGACTCCATTCCCACTGGGACTGCACACGCTGACCCTTCCCTTCATCCCCCAACCCACTTTCCAGACCACACTTCAGCCCAGGCTTCTCACAGCTCCTGTTCCAAGCAAACTGGAACTCATTTCACCCAGAAAACTCAAAGTGACCATATCCCCTTTCCTTGCCAAATCACACCTTACCAAAAGGGATGCAGAATCCTGGACACAGGGAGTCAATCCAGCTTCCTTAGGGGGCAAATCCAGGCCCTTTGGGCCCCCAGCTGGCTGAACCCATTTCCTTGACCAGCTTGTGGAGGTCTCCCAGCTTTTGTGTTGCTTTCCTCCCTTTAAGAAGGTTGCAATGCTAAGGCTTTGTTACTAGCAGGGCTTTAAGCTCAAATCTGTTAGCATCTGGGGCCGCTCCCTGTGCCTTGAACCCGGCCCACTGCTGGGATGTGGCTCCTGAAGATGCTCTCTGCAATGGAATTTGGTTCTTGGGCAAAGAGTGGTTTGACACCTCTGCCTTCCTGGGATTCACAAGACCCTCTTTCCCATCTCAGAAAATGGAGGATTAGCCTCCCCTCCCCTCCCCGAGCCAGAGAACCCCCAAAGGCTTTTCTCCAGCAGGCCAGCAGCTAACCCCACACAGGGCTGCTTGTTCCCCCTCCCTTACCAGCTTCCGTAGTCGCCCTCCGCCACTGCTGATTGGTTCATGGCCCTGATCCAGCTGTTCATGTCCAACTGGGTGTCTGCGCTGAAATAGTAGGTCCTCATGCCAGGATGTTCAGCCTGTGAGAGGGAACAACAGAGAGTCCTGGTAGTGGTCCAAACATCCTCAAGGGGGCAGCAGGAGCACAGAAACACCGGTGGGTGACCCAAGGAGAAGAGGAGAAGCCCAGGGTGGACCGGTTTGTTCCCCGCACCCTGGTTCATGGCTGGCATCAGGACACCTGCTGAAGGCCCACGGCTCAGCCGGGACCCCTTGACATGAGCACCCGGGATCCCTCCTCTTCCGCACCGCAACCTGCTCCTTCATCAGCCTCTCATGCAGACAATGGTGCAGGGAGGAAGAGGAGGAGGGGCAGATGCCACGGCCAGCTTGGTTGCTGCCCCTCTGACTTCCAGGCAAGTGAGTGAAAGCACTGCTGTGAAAGAGCAGAAGGAGCAAAGGCAGCTGGGGACAACTGCAGTGTTGGGGGAGACTCGGTGAGGAAGGGGCCCTCCGACACCGTCTCTCCCAAGGACTCTCCAGGCCTTGCAGTCAGCACGGCCCGCTTCACGGCAAAATAATGGGACTTGAAGAAGCCTCCAGCCCAGTGGCTCTGGCTGCACCTCTGCCAGGGGGCTCAGAAGTTCTGCCTTCCAGAGCCACAAGATGCCGAATCTGCTGAACCTTTGGCAGGTTGGTTGTGGATCGCAGCAGATTCGACAGCCCTTGGCAGCTTCTCCCACCAACCCTTCTCATTATTGTCCCTCATTCTCTTCCTCTACTGTTACACTACCTGCTAAAGACCCATTCCAACCACTGCCTATTTTTAAATTAACACATTATTAATTAAGAGGAAGGATCACGGTGCATTAGAAAAGCTAGTGTGCTGGATGCTGAAGGTCCAAGTTCTGCCTAGACATCTGTGGGTGTCACGGGATTGAAGCAGAAAGACTTTTGCATTAGCTGGACATCTGCCACTCTCTCAACTTTGGTGCAATCCTCAAAATAGCAGCAGGAGGAAGATGGATTTTACTGTTATGGGCTATCCTTATTGTAAGGGAAAACATTTCAGGGTAGCTTTGTTTTGAATGGATAATTAAGATTAATTAGCTATACAAAAGGCCCACAGCAAGCCAATACAATACAGAGAGAGAGAGATGGATCAATGGAGCTGCCTTGGGGTGCTTGTCTGTGGGAGCCATGTCCACCTAAGAGTCCCTAGAGAACTGATGCTAGAGGAGAATTTGCTGGCTGATGAATCCAACTTGTTAAGCTAAGTAGGTCTGTCTCTGGTCACTGCTTGAATGGGAGACCACTGGGGAACCTCAGAGAAGAAAGCTGCTAAATAAATAAACAATAGGTGGACATAAGAACAGGTAGGTCTGTCCTGGGCAACTTGCAAAGGTTGTTAGACTAAACTCCCATCCTCCTTTGCCATTGGCCAAACTGGCTAGGGCTGATGGGAGTTGCAGGCCAATAGCAGCCGCAGCAACACGTGTGGCCCACTGGCCATGGGGTCAAAAGCAGAAACTGGCCACGACAGTCCTTAGCCTCTACGTACAAAGGCCGTATGTGCCACTGCAGACCAGCTGCTGGGCAGCAACAGCACAAGAGGGCTTGTGCCAGCATGTCCTGCAGGTGGTTCTTCCGGAGAAATCTGTTGGCCATTCCTAGGAGGAAGGCAGCCTAGCTGGGCCTTTCCTTTGACACTGATCTGAGCAGCCTCGTTCGGTGTTCTGCCCACGGACCAAGGCTACACATGTGCAGGGCGATGCAGGAAAGGACCTGACCTTGAATACAAAGCGCCGGTTCTTCTTCTCCTTGGAGAACGCTGTTCGAATTTCATAGCTGGGGAGAGGGATGCTGCCCAAAACCATCTCTTCGCGGCTGTCTGGAACACACACACACACCCAAAATGTGACTTAGTGCACTTATCAATGCTTCTACCGAATACAGCCTTCCCTAGCCCTCTAAGAGCCTTGGACAAGTCCCATCACCCCCAGAGACATGTTTGACAATTACCTCGGTAGTAGAAGAGGCAGTAATTGGAAAGGACAAACCAACGCCGTTTCCAGAGTTTAAGCCCCGAACTGTCCTGGAAAAAGGGAGAGAGGGAGTGTATCAAAAGGGGCAACTGCATTTCAAAAAAACAAAAACCAAAATCCTGGTTGCCAGCTGCCAACTTGTTCCTATCTGTTCAACCAGGGAAGGAAAATCTTTTTCAATTCAGCAGCTGGATTCCATTTTGGAAAGCTCCCAGGAGGGAAGCACTTTAGCCAAAGAGTCAAAGCAACAGTGGCAAAGCCCAAAATACCAAAAATTGCAGCATTTCTGAGTTTATTGACAGGAATGAAGCCTTTGGAGAGGCATTCCAGTCCTTTAAAAGGGGGAAGATGCTGCATGAAAGCTGGGAAACCATCAAAAAATCAGTGGGTAGAAAAAAGGGGATGCAGTCAGAAGAAGAGGATTGAGATCCCAAAAGGGCCTGGTTGGGTCCCCTGCAGACCTGAGGTTCTGCACCCTGTTTTACCTTTTTATATAGCCATCCACGCATGATGACAGGTGAATTGGGGTCCCTTTTAATGGAGTTTGCCCTCTTTCCAAAAGTGTGTACCTTCTGGACAGGCCGGACTGAATGTGGCTGTGGGAAACAAATGTGAAATTGCAAGATTAAATCCAAAACTGAATAGACTCGTAGGGATAAAGGTGCCAAGAAGCATTTGAGGATTAGAAAGCCGGGTCGACTTGTTTGCACGGTTACAGTAGTTGAGACACAGGGTCTCTCTGCCCCCACTCCCAGCCCCTTTCTAGAGGCTGGTGCCATTTCCAATGTCTCCTCACCTTTGTTCCCATGGCGACTGAAGAGATGGTGACTGTGCTGCTGGCTTGGCTTAGGCCGCTTTTTGGCCGGTCCCTCTCTGACATGGTCCCCAGATAACCCAGTGCTGATCTGGAAAAGAGCAGGGGATGCTGGGTATTGTAGCAATAATTTGGGAAGTGGAAGAACCCCCCCACCCCACTTTGGAGCTGGTGGTTGGGGAAATGCAGAGTGCCATTCGCAGTCTTTCAAAGGGCTTTTGAACACCAGTGTGTCTCATTGAATGCTTTTCTTCCTTTCATTTTTAACAGACTTCTTTAACCTGTGCTAATCTCTCCTCTTTGTGGCCTTCCATCTTGTCCCTGTTTCTCCTCCTCCTCTTCCCTCTCTCTAACAGATCAGAGTACTTGATTTGTGATGCAACTTGAGTCGTATCTTGACAAAGCTGTGCACCACATCCTGCCAGTTGAACACCAGTGAAGTGCTCTTTCCTAACCTGGTTCCCTCAAGGTGAGTTGGATTAATTGACAACATTGGCCAACTGGCCATCCTGGCCGGGACCCAGGACAGCTGAAGTCCTGTAGAGGGTGGGCACCCCATGGATTCCATGGAGTCATCACTGAATTAAATTTCAAGGTTACCTAGTGAAATTTCTCAGGCAGAGCCTGCTTTGGAAGGGCTTTTAGCTTGGGAGGGGGAACAGTTGCTAGACCCAGTCCTTGACCCAGTAAGGAAGCGATGGGAGAAATGAGCTACCCAGTTAGAGGGTCTCCAGCTGTCAGGACTAAATCAGCCAGCCTGAAACTACAAAGAACAGTTTTCAACTGTTAAGATAGGATGCTGATCTTTGATCAGGAAACTTATGTGTAGCTCTTGTTCCTCTCCTGTCCCCTGCTTAGATATACTAATAGACAGATAAGCCAGTATGTGCCTGCCCTCATTCAAGCCTTTGTTTTCATTGCAAACTGCCTTTACAAACCGCCTGCCTGCCTAATATGTTATAAAAGCACCCTGTACAGAATGCTTCTTCACAGTCCCTTTTAGAGCTACCTCATGCTGCAAATATTTCCTGTATGTCTGAATAATCGGTAAGGTTCCTTTGACTGTACATCCCTCCCGTGGCCAGCCGTGTTCTCTTGACACTGCGCTCAAGCAGCAAGAACCCACGGAGGGAAAACTGGAGCTTTACTGAAAGGGAGGGACAGAAGGGAATTTTCCAGTTTGGATTCGCCTCTTTACATGGGCAGATGCTTCTCCTGCAAAGCTGGTAGAAGGCTCCTGAGAGTTTAGGAGCCTCTAATCTGTTAAGTTTCAGTATTCGTTATTTGTTTTTCGGCACCAGGCTAAGACCTTTTTATTTAAAACTTATTTTAATTGTAAATTTATTTATTTATTTAACTAGGGTTTTTTTTTAATTTTTAGCCGAGAATGCACTGAGGTTTTATTGCACTGGGGTTTTATTGTATTGTTATGTATTGATGTTTTGTGAGCCGCCCTGAGGCTTTATTGCGAGGGGGCGGCATAGAAATGTTTTAAATAAATAAATATAAGAATTGCACTTCAAAGGATTGTCTTGCGTTTGAGAACCAGTAGGAAGGGACCAGCTCAGGACAAGTCCCAGGCATCTGGAGGAGAAGCAGATTGGAAAGACTGTGTTAGACCCTCTGAAGACTGTGGATCGGCCTTCTGTCTTAGGCCCCGCTCTGTGATCATGCAGTAAGGAAAGTTAATCCAAGCACTCGTGGCAGCTTTTAAAATCCATAGTGGAGTAGTGATAGGACTTATATTTTATTAGTGGGAATGTTAATACCATATCATTTAATATTTATTTTATGGATATCCCACTTTTTCCTTCAAGGAACTAAAGGCAGCTTACATAATTATCCTACTCATCTCCATGTTACCCTCACAACGACCCTGTGAGGTAGGTTAGGCTGAGCGTCTGTGACTAGCTCAAAGTCACCCAGTGAGCTTTGTGGTTGAATGGGGACTAGAACCCAGATTTCAGTCCAACACTGTGACCACTACACTACCGTGGATTTTCAACATACTTAATATCTGCCACCCCCTCAGAACTCCATGCTTCCTCTGAGTTTTGCTGCAATCCTCACAGTGGTAGAGGAAGCAAACTTTCCAAGCATCAGTAAATTGTTCCCAGTGGTCATGCAAAGTATTTCAGGCTGGTTTATTCTTGCACGGGCACTATAGACCCATCAGCTTTGCAAAAGACCTGCTCCTGATGGAGGTTAAAATGGTTAGAAATGGCTGCTTCATAGGCATGGCTTCAGCTGCCTTCATTTTTGCACTCTCCTTTGGAGCATGGACATGAGGACTTCATGAGGAATGCCTGCCCTTCTAAAGTTTTCATTATCACCATTGCTTGTAAATAATGCCACGACAGTTTAGTAAGGTGCCCTGCAATGGACTGGTAGAAGAGGAAAGGAGAGCTAGTCCCTTCCAGAGCAGCCCATCGTTTTTCTTTGCTTAGTGCAGAGCAGGGACAGAGGGACCTGTCCCTCTTCTGCTAGCATGTTAGCTCGGCCGTGTGGAATTCCTTGTTGCCTATGGTAACCAAGCTAGTGCTTTAAATACAAGGCTGGCTTATGGCTTCAGTAAGCACAGCTCTGACATGCTGCATTTGACACAGAATGTGGCATCCGACACAAAATTTGGATTCCAAAGAGTATCAGCATTCTTTTGCAATTTTAAATGTGAGTCAAGTTGCTAGCTATCATGGAGGCATGAAACTATTGTTCAAAAAGGCAACTAAGCAGTACAAAAGTCTGTTGTAGATGAGAACTTTTGTTTGCAAGTTCCTCCAGCTTGCAAATTTCTTCTTTTCATCTAATACTTTTCCCAATGTTACTGGATCACCTTCTTGTCCTTTCTACCAGATTCTACAAGAAACAAACCTGTTCACCTCTCTCTCACACACAAACATATATAATGTAACATAAAGCAGCATTCAGCAAAATAAGTGCATTAACATATCTTTCGCTGAGAACAGAATTTGAATTTTCTTAACAAAGAAGAAGCAACAGGATGCAACAGACGCCAATTAAAATCTTTTTTTGCATTTCCATATATATATATATATATATATATATATGAGACAATATTGTCAGTGCCAAAATGTGGGCTGAAAACTGCAGCATCAGCACCAGCATAGACAGTAGTTTCTGCATATTTCATCGTTTCTTATTCTTTCTAAAACAGAGCAGAGCAGAAACCATAAAACCTGCTCCCCTAGTCAACCCCCAGCCCATGAATTCCCTCTAGTTATTTTTGGAACAAACCCACCTGCTTGTGTCTGGCAAAAGCATCTCTTTAGAGAGAGTATCCAATGGGTGAGATAGGAAATTCCACCCCTTCCCTTGGCAGCAGGATCCTACATTAATCGCTCTTTGTTGTGAAACCACCAGAAACCCATTTCTTAATGTTTGAGATTTTCACTTCCAGAGGCTATATCCAATTCCCTCTTAAGCAAGCATTTAGAACTTTATATGCTTTCTTCGGACTCAACAGACTCTGGTCCCCTGCAAAAACCTGGGGTCTAGTGTTTGGGGCTCTTGGGACTTGTAAAAAAATCTTATCCCCTAACAAATGTATGTCATCCAGGCTTCATTTCTTCCATAATACTGGGCGGGTTTGCCTAACACAACAAGCTGTACGGTGGGTTGTGCTGTTTGGTTTTAGATGACACAGCAAAACACCATGGGACAAACAAATTCTATAACACACCATGACTTGTCATGGTAGCTGATGAAGCAAGCTTAAGTTACCCCGACAAAACCATTCCTGGTTCGGAGAACAGCATGGCATACAACTAGAAGCTGAAAAGGTCTCAGACAGATCCACAAATTCCCCTCTTCCCATATTTCTATTTTACCTGGACCCCATTCCATGGCTCCTGAAGGCCAAGAACCATACTCCAGATTCACTGGGCTTTGTGCTTCTTTGAAGACAGCCTAGCAAACAGTCAGTCTGATTGATTCAAAAGGAGTTGCCTGCCTGCCACTAGGTTTCCTCAGGGCAGAGGTAGGCAGAGACTTAGTGGTACTCAAATTACAGAAATTAGGAGGTTCAGAGGATGGTTAACCCCCAAGGCAATGAATTCTCAGTGCTTGAAATTAGATCAACATTCGGGCAAGCCCCATTAGATGACCTGTGCACTCATGTAAAATAAACAGCTGTGCGTCTTTTCTGTAAATCCCGGGCAGGATGTCAGGAGTTTCTTAGGTCAATGAAGCTCTAACCTTGACAAATGGTATTTGTCAAGCCCACTGAGAATTATGGAAATGCCAGTCCAACACCAGAGAGTTCCAAGTTGAGGAAGGCTTGTTCACATGCACAGACTAGAAACATAGGCCAAATGGCCATGACATGCAGAAATGCCGTCTGTGACAGTTCTTTGCAAGAATGAAATATGCACAAGTCAAACACAAGGACAACTCGCATCAAAAGTCCTCGGTGCATTTCTATTTTTATTCATTTTATTAATTTGTTGTAAACTGTCCCGAGATGTCTGTGAAGGGACGGTATAGAAAAGTTTTAAATAAATAAAATAACAGAGCCATCCTATCTTTGCTATGTTAATTCACACTTGCACTCGAGGAAGAAGAAATACTTGTCTCAACTCAGGTCCAAAGGAACAGAACCAAACTTGGTAGGGTCTAACCCAGCAAGTTCACTCTGGGATCGCCTCCTCTCCGTTGCATGATTCTATGAGACTGTGACAACACCCAAGTGTGTCTGTCAGTCTGTCTGTTTTAGGAACATAAAAGGTTCCACACGCTATGTCAGATCATCGGTCCATTTGGGCCAGTATTGTCCGGCCTGACCAAATGCAGCTCCTCAAGATTTTAGACAGGGTCTTTTCCAGACAGGCTCTAGCAGTGAGCCCTTGGTTCTCATGATGTCTTCTGGTTTGAGACTTGCCTGTGCTTCTTAGAATGCAGGACTTGGGTCTCACTGGGTAATTCTGGGCCAGTCATTTCCTCCCAGCCCAGCTCAAAACAAAGAACTAGGCTAAACGGTGTGGATTTAGATCCAGTCCAGTACTTTTTGTAGCCTGCCCATAAAAGCTGACCGGACTGGCTGAGAAAGATTATTACAATGTCCTGCACCACACT